TGGTGTGATTCTTAGAATCAAATGCTTTTGAGGCATATTAGATGTTTTAAGAGTCTAAATGAAGGAAATGAAGTAGGGTTAAGTTGAGAAATATTATATAGTATTGTTAAGGGAAAATGAAAGGAAAATTGGCCAAAGTTAGGTCCATTTCGGGTTAAAAACTGGAAAATATGGGCAGGGGTATCGGTACCTAATGAAGGGGTACCGATACCATAGACAAAAATTAGGCTAATGGTAAGGGTATCGATACCGGGTAACATCGAACCTAATATTGGTATCGATACCATATAGGGGTATCGATACCATAGTATAGTGGTATCCATACATATGGTAAGGGTATCGATACCAGTAAACATCGAAGCTAATTTTGTTATCGATACATGAAGGGGGTATCGAGACCCTAATAGGGTAGTATCGATACCATAAGCATGAGTATTGATACAAGAGGGCCAGAAATGTTAAGTTGGGGCTGATAATGTTGTAGGAGGTTAATAATAAATATTTTGATTAATGTTAAGTTATAATTGTTAGGAAACATACTAACAATTGATATTATGCATGTCTTTAATGAATATAGAATAGATCGCAAACCAGCTCTTGAGTCAAGTAAGTCGAAAGGTAAGGGCCAAGTTCCAGAATAATTATCTTCTTATTTTGGATATCTAAGCAAGGCGAGCCAGGTGAGTACATTTATTGTATGTAATATTTATATGTTAATGTATATTTTACAGAAATTATTATGTATCTTGGAATATATGAAATTGATATTGTGAATGAGGTTTTAGAGTAGGAACTGCTCTAAAATGAATGTAAAAGAATAATGCATATGGGTGCATTATTGGCATGAAAGGACGCCATAGATGAAATGTATATGGGTACATTGTCAGGATAAAAGAATAATGCATATGGGTGCATTATTGGCATTAAAGGATGCCATAGTTGAAATACATATGGGTGCATTATCAACAGAAAAATATACTATAGTTGAAATGCATATGGGTGCATTATCAACAGAAAAGTATGCTATAGTTGAAATGTATATGGGTACATTATCAACAGAAAAGTATACTATGATTGAAATATATATGGGTACATTATCAACATAAAAGTATACTATAATTGAAATGCATATGGGTGCATTATCAACAGAAAAGATATTAGAGTTTAAAATGCATAATAATGTATGATAAACATAAACGGAGGTTACAAACTAAAAGAAAGAATCATGGCATATGCTTTTGAAAAAGGGGAAATGAAATATGCTTGAACACCAAAGGTTATTTATTATATCCTGACTCACTAAGATATACTTATCATGTGTATTTCCACGTGTAGGTAACAGAAGATAATCATCAAGTAAGGAGTGAAGCTGTAACCGCATACATCATCTACTAAGGTTGACTCGTCAATAACATTAGGACTTTAATGACCCTTTTTGGAACCTGTTTGGCATGTAATCACATATAACAAAAATATTTTGTATTATATTTTAATGAATCTATATTTATGATGTTAATTATGTGAAATTATGTTTGCAACAAAATTATAAAGGATTTTCAAAATGAGTATACCATATTATAAATAATGTGACATTCCTATTCGTATACGTATACGTAACTGTATATAGAATATGGGTGTTACAAAGAAAGCATGGGAGTTTTAAGCCAAAAGTTTTTTTCCATTCAATGAAAATATGTGCCTTGAGACATTCAAGTTTATCTCAAAGATGATGACTGTAGGGTGGTTGTTATGGCTTAATACAATGCTCTTCTCAGTAATAACACATGGGATATTGTGAAGCTGCCAGTGGGGAGAAAAATCATTGGTTGTAAATGGCTTTTTAAGGTGAAGAAAAATGATGATGAATCAATAGAAAGATTGAAAGCTAGACTGGTTGCCAAGAGGTATTCCCAGATACCAGGATATGATTTTATGGATACTTTTAGTCTTGTGGTTCGGTTCTTTACAGTAAATGTATTGATCTCATTAGTTGTTTCATGTCAATGGCATGTAAGGCTGGTGGATGTGAATAACGTCTTCCTAAAAGGTGACTTAAGTGAGGATGTCTACATGCAACAGATTCCTGGTTTTTAAGAGCACTCCACTGATGGAGTTATCGTGGTATGCAAGTTAAAAAAGGCATTGTATGGGTTGAGGCAAGCTCCAAGGAATTGGTTTCTTAAGTTGCGAGAATTCTTCCTTAGCTTGGGGTTCAAGTCTTCAAGGGCAGATTTTTCGTTGTTTATTTGCCAAGGGGAAAGTGAAGTGGTATACATGGTTGTTTATGTGGATGATATTCTCATCAAAGGGAGTTCTTAGTTAGAAATTGAACAAATAATTCAGGCATTGCATGAAAAGTTCTCCTTAAAAGATCTTGGATAGCTTAAGTACTTTCTTGACATAGAGGTGCATAGATCAAATAGTGGTTTGTTTCTCAATCAAAAGAAATTTATCATTGAGTTGCTGCAAAAGAATCAAATGCTTGATGTCAATTCGTCTTCTACTCCCATGGTAATGACAAACAAGCTTAGTAAGAGTGATGGGGAAGTGCCAAGCAATCCAAAACAATATCAAAGTGTAGTTGGGACACTACATTACATTTGTCATACTAGACCAGACATCTCGTTTATAGTTAACAAGGCTGCACAATTCTTGCAAGAGCCCACCAAGGTACATTGGCTTACTTTTAAGCGAATTTTAAGGTATTTACGAGGACGCTAGAGACTGGACTTTGGTTTTCAGCTCAAGTACAAAGACTGATGGTGCTTAACGCTTTCTCGAATTCTGATTGGGATGGAGATGCTGATGAAAAAAGATCAATATATGGGTACTGTTTTTACAATGGAAATTATTTGCTGGCATGGAGTTTGGAAAAATTGCGTGTAGTATCTAGATCCACTACAGAAGTCGAGTACAAGAGTCTTGCTTATGCCATTTCTGAGGTTGTATGGATAAAGGTTGTATTACATGAAATGAAGATTGCATTGCCTGAAGAGCCTAAGGTTTGGTGTGATAACACCAGCACAGTTGCTATGGCTGCAAACCCTATTTTGCATGCAAAAAGCAAACATATCGAGCTAGACTTACACTTTGTGCGAGAAAAGGTTGCAACACATAAAGTTCAAGTCAACTATGTACCAACTAACAACCAAGTTGTAGATATTTTAACAAAACCACTTCCTTTGACCAAGTTCGAGTTGTTCAGAAGCAAGTTGTGTGTTTTTGAACTTAAAGAAGTTTGTAAGAAGCAGGGTGAATGTTAAACTATATCTGGTTAGGTGGTTAAATGCAAGAGGTTAAGTGGTTAAGTGTGTAGTTAGTTAATAAGTTGTAATAGATTCTGCAGTAGCTAGACTACCTCTCGTGAGTCTTTAAATAGTTGTTTATGCTATGTAATTCATGTATCAATAATATACAAAGTTTACATATTTCTTCTGTAGTTCTTCTACATTTCTTCCATAGTTAGCATCCTCACATGTTAATTTGGCAAAAGTCTTCACCCATACATTTCCCATTATAATGGTTTACTCTTCGACTACTCTCGCAATAGCAACAACAAGGAAGCTCTAAATCTCTTTTTGGGTATTCATAGTTTTGGTTTGCTAGTTGATGGATCCACTTTATCATGTGTTTTAAAGGTATGACGATGCTTGTTTAATGTGATAGCTAGAAAACAAGTTCATTGCCAACGTTTGAAACTTGAGTTATTTGAGGATGTCCGTGTAGGGACTAGAGACTTATCTTTTAGATATGTATATGAGGACATAGAATGTTAAAGATGGTAGGAGAGTTTTTGATCATTTAGGGGAAAGAAATATGGTTTCTTGGACTTCATTGCTTGGTGGCTCAAGCTTTGGAATTGTTCTTGCAATGCAAATGGAAGGCATAAAACTCAGTCCATATATCTTTGCAACTGTTATTCGAGCTTTGAAAGATGGTTTTAGTTGTGACCCTAAGATTGAAACCGTGCTTATGGTAGCTTACAGTAAGTGTAGTGAAAACGCTGGAGATGAAGAGAGTGGAGAAGAAGTATACAACTACAATTTAACACGCGCACATATATATATATATATATATATATATTAAATTTGTTAATAATATATTACTTTATTAATTTAGCTTGGTAGTTGGGTGTTTAATATTTAATTTTGAATGATATAGTTTCAAATCCCATGAAAAGCAATTTATCTTCAAATGATTTTAACAAAACGACGTTGTTTTGAGTTTTTTAAGCATCAAAACAGTTGCGTTAAAATGACGTTATTTTGGGGATGGAGCCACGACGTCACGACGGAGATGCCATGTCATCATATTGTTAAGTCATTAACGACATGGTGATATAATTACAGTAAAACATAAATGTCAGTGATAAAATTGATAAAATTAAAACGTCAGTGACATTTTCGAATCTAAGCTTAAAGGTGACTGATATTTGAAGTAGTCAATCCTTTAAAAAAAATAAATAAAAAAATATTATCAATTTATTCTCAATAAAAAAAACTTATATTTATAGAAAAAAAAATTAACCCTACCATAATAAATTTTTAAATCCACCCCTAAATCTGGACACCATACGTTCTATTATTTGCTCCGATAAAAAAATCTGGTGCAAATTTATTCACATGCAAGCACCACAATCTCCAGTACAATGGAAGTGATCGAAGCAGATAAGTGTGAAGATCAAATCATAGCTGTTTCCGATGCGACATTCTAAATTCGTGTACAACTTTAACTACCAGATTTGAGAGATGTTTTACGGTATAACACGTTTAAAATACAACTAAAAAAACTGCTATCGATTTTATTATTATTTAAATAAAAAAATTAGTAAAAAATTATTTAAAATTTTATTATTTTTACTTAAAATATTAATATTTTTAACATTTCCAATAATAACAAAACGAATTGAAAAAATAACAAAACCGATAGTATTTTAAAGATTTTGTTAACAAAATCGATAAAACGCGTAATAATAACAAAACTGCACATGATCATTTCCCCGGATTTGGACATGAGCCATAATGTTAAAACAGTAGTTATCGTCGATCAAAGATACTTTACACAAGATTTGCATAATATCTACCTCTATGGTACAACTTTTAGCTTTCAAGAATATGTTGACATAAGAGCTTTCCTATATCACAAGGTTAGCCTAAGAAGATCCATAATTTACATCGACTCCGCACCACGGCGGGAAGAAGTATACTGTACAGCAGCCGAGCAATGGCTACACGGGAAGGGGATGAGTTGTGATCATAGTTATTCCCAACCCATCAACCGCTTCCAAACTTCTTCCTCAACTTTTCGCCTTGGAATGGATAAACTGTCCCCTTCATCTAGAAGAACTCTGTAAACTTCCCACTCTCGGTCTCCGATCATGTGTCTAGCAATCTCAGCCTGAAAAATATGTGAACTCAAAAAGGTTACATATGCAACTTGCACAAGAAAAACAGAGAAACAATAATGGACTCCGGATATAACAAAAGTGATGCATTGGATTTTCTGTTTAGACGGACGGACGGCGAAGAGGAGTGATCGAGAAACGCTCACATGCATGTTATTGCAGAAAAGATGTGGAAAACATGCATCCACATGATATAAACTCTAGTGCAGCGTTAAGTTCACAAATGCAATTATTTACATGGGAAAGAAATACAGAAAGCTGAGGAAGTACCGAGAATATGCAGGTGTTAAGCATCTTTAGAGCAAGGGTAATGTCATAAAAAACAAGAGGCCGGCCCTTGCTCGATAACTCTACAGGGTTTGCAACTAGAAGCTCGGTATCAGGACCCCGGCTCACTACAGCTACTCTGAGTGGTTGCTGCAGTTCCATCTTCAGACGCGAGGACAATGCACTTTGCTTGCTTGGATCAACTATCTTCTTCCCGTCGGCTTGCATTATAAACAAGTCAATCTCACACTTCTTTCCTTGTTTTATATAGAAGCGTCCATATGAAATCTAGTCACATTATGAAACTGACGCATTAACGTGGCGGAACTAGTTTCTGGCTAAGAATGCTTCCCTTACCAAACAAATATTAAACAAACAAAGCATAGCTTTTGCGATTTGGATACGATTTCACGCAAGTTATGATCAACAGATACACATCGTAATACTGAAAACTTAGAATAAAAGCATAGCAAGAGCGGTTTTATCAATTCATAGTGACAAGGTACTTAGCAACACACACAACTAAAGCACATCAACATAAAATTGACCGAAGGTAAAAACCTATTAAACTGTAAGTAATTCAACCTAGAGTGCCCTTAACATAAATTCTGATAGATAAAAAGTCCAGTAAAAGATTGATCTATTATATAGTAATTAGTCTATCTACCTGAATGTTGTAATCCTTCAGAGTTCTCATTATATCATATAGAAGACCTTTATGATCTTGACAAACAATCTGAACAAGCGTGTGAGCAGGACTGAGCGAGTTGTCCATCGTGACACAAACATTGTTGGAAGTAAGTGATACGCTTGGGAGATCATTAGACGTCTCTATGTTGAAAATATCCTCAGTTATTGCAGGCGGGAGAAATGGAGATGCTTGAGAACATGCAGTAATTTCAGGTCCAACCTTTTCGACATTAAAGCTGATTATAGCATCCTGAGTAACATCTTCCAATGCCTTATAAGTCTCCTCCTGCCTAATTTTTGTATGCAATAGCTCCCTGGAAAAGAAAACCATGATATTGACAAAGAGTTGTTCGAACTCAGGGTAGATGTATATTCTTGTCTACATAATTCAACTCCGAATCCATTAATCCTTTAGGCATATGCACATGTAGTTAGAAGACAATACACCTCTACTTATATGCACATGCTTGTTCTAATTCAAGATACATTCGTAGTCACTCGAAAGAATCCGAACGGATTCGAGCTAACGAAGCAAATATGCACGATGAACGGAGAACAAACACCTACACGAAACATACAGCTAATTTCTAAAGATTGCAAAGCAAGGAACAAACCTGGTATCTGTAATAAAGAAAAGGTCCATCACTGTGCCATCTGGAGTTGTTGATACCTTAACTTTCTTTATATTGAGTTCAAGACTACACAGAACTTGTGTCACATCTGCCAAGCGAAAAACCATCAAAAGATTGATCACTAACACATTTTAAACCACAAATTAGTTCTCAAAGTATCAAGAAAATTGACCAAATGAAGACCAAAATTTTATGGGACTTGAAAGCCTGAAAAGATGAACAAGAAAGAAGAAAACTTTACCATGCAAAAGGCCTTTTCGATCGTAACAGAAAAGCTTGAGGAGAAAGACATCAGGAGGAGGCCTTGGAGACTGCAACTCCGAACGGTAATAAGAAATCCCAGAAGCTGAAGAACAAGAAGGGCAAGCCCCAACTAGTCTTTTCTTCACCAATTCCCATCTTGTTGTTGGCTTGCAAACCACCCAAAACACTATAAAACACCATTTCCCATCCGTGGATACATCTTCACAACCAAAAAATTCATAAAACCAAAGATTATTTAAACAAATACATGCAATCTGGGATTTTAGAAACAAGTAAGAGAAGTTGAGGAATAACCTCCTCTGACAATGTTGAGACCGAAAAAGAGCAAGATGCGGCATAAATCACAGCCCAAACCGGTTTTATCAGGGCAGTTTACAGTGATAACACTCGGCTCTCCTTCTTTATCTGCCTGCCTAATAATCACTACGTCGTCATGCAGAAAACCCATATCTTTTGTTCTTCAAAGCTTGAAGAAAGAATGGGAATAAACAGTGAAGATTTGTGGGTTTGATTCCCTTGGGAGGGGGTGTTTCTGTTTTTAAATTTGAATGAGTTGTTGAGCAGTAGTGTTATGGAGACGGAGAATAAAACATAAAAGGCAGAGAGAATCAGAAAGCAAAGCAGAGGGGGAGAGAGAAAAAAAGAAAGAAGGTTACTGGTTTGCCTTGAGATTCACTTGTAGTTGTTGTTTACCTGTCTATTTTCATTTAGTTTTTGCTTGGCCACCAAGGTTTCCAAAATCTCGACAACTTTGTGCTGCAACAACTCCTCCCTCAACCTTAGTTAAGCTGCAAATGATATAATCATTTGAGGCAAAATAACATTTGATTAAATGGTTAATTTAATGTTCAAGTGATAAATAGTTTTATATTATTTAATTAAAGTTTCGAGTTTAAGTCTATATATACATAAAATTTATGTTAGAAGACTCACCACCAAAACTATACAAAGTCCTGGAATCGAGACCACAACCTAAAGAAATAGTTAATTTAATTTTTTTAATATTACGATCTTTAATATTTTATTTTGAGATAAAAGAGCATATGTATCCATGAAAATTATTAGTAGATGAATAACTAACATTTTAAAATAGGAATTTTTATCTTAAAATGAAATTTAATGTCAAAATATTCTAAAAAAAAATTTAAAATGATTATTTAATCCAATATTATGAGTCGTTTATCATTAAATTTAACGTTGGAGGCAAATCCTAAAAAAAATAAAAACTAAAATGATTATTTAATCAAAGTTTGAAAATATTTTTTTAATATTATACTTTTAGGAAATTCTGGTTTACTCAAATTCAAGTTTAAATATTTTAAGGACCTTTTTAATCTTAAAATAAAAAAATGTTGGAGTCAAAACGCTAAAAAAATGAATCAAAATAACAATTTAATCCCACTTTAGAAAATGACATTAAGAATTTAAGTTTACTTCAAATTAGAATTTAAATAATTACATTTAAATATATTAGAAAATAATTAAATCAAAATATAATACAAAGATTGAAAAACATATAATTAAATTTAAATTTTATTTAACTCAAATTATTAAGATAATTAATTTGTTTTAATAATTTTCACGAAAAATATTTTTTATAATAATTATTTATATAATTCCATGTATAATATAATAATCACAACCAAAATCAAACATGTATATACATATATTAAACTGTATGATTTATTGAACAAAATGAAGCCTTAAAGAGTTATTTTTTATTAAGTTAAAGTAATTATAAAATAATATTCATATGTGAATACATGGATTGTCGAAAGGCGGATTAATATACGGCTAATATATGGCGTTACCGGATATATTAAAAGATATTTGATAAATTTGGTTTAGCGTTACCGGAAATATCGAGTAATAATAATGTAATAGGTGAAAATCATGAAGAAATATTAAAAAATTTGGCAACCGACAAACTTAGCTTGTCGGTTTGTGTCGATACTTTATAAAAATGTATTAATCTATAACAATATAACAGGTAAAAAAATGACAAAACCGGTCTATAAATGACAAAGCAAGTAAAGCGCTACCGGATATATTGAAAGTATCGATACTTTATAAAAATGTATCGATCCATAACAATATAACAGGTAAAAAATGACAAAATCGGTCTATAAATGACAAAACAGGTAAAGCGCTACCGGATATATTGAAAGTGTCGATACTTTATAAAAATGTATCGATCCATAACAATATAACAGGTAAAAAAAATGACAAAACCGGTCTATAAATGACAAAACAGGTAAAACGCTACCGAATATATTGAAAGTGTCGATACTTTATAAAAATGTATCGATCCATAACAATATAACAGGTAAAAAAAATGACAAAACCGGTCTATAAATGACAAAACATGTAAAGCGCTATCGGATATATTGAAAGTGTCGATACTTTATAAAACTGTATCGATCCATAACAATATAACAGGTAAAAAAATGACAAAACCGGTCTATAAATGACAAAATATGTAAAACACTACCGGATATGTTGATAGTGTCGATACTTTATTATAAGTATCGACACTTTTGGAATTTAAAAGAGAAGTTATAGCGCTAATAAAGTGTCGATACTTTATAAAAATGTATCGATCTATAACAATATAACAAGTAAAAATATGACAAAATCGATCTTGAAATGACAAAATCGATAAAGAACTATCGGATATGTTGAAAGTATCGATACTTTATTATAAGTATCGACACTTTTGGAATTTAAAAGAAAATAAGTTATAGCGTCAATAAAGTGTCGATACTTTATAAAAATGTATCGATCCATAACAATATAACAAGTAAATATATGATAAAATCGATCTCGAAATGACAAAACCAGTAGTAAAAAAATGTGCTTGTGTGATCATTTTTATTTCTGAATTTTCATCTTTTAATACAAAAGATTGAATATTTTAAGCAAAACCTAGTAAGAAAATAACAAAAACTTTGCAATAACAAAATAATAATATTGGGAAACTCACCATGTTATCAGTTTCTCAAAGAATAAAAACCCAGAAATAGGTAAATTTACAATGCAACAGGTAAAAATATACTGGTTAATTAACAAATAGGTTTACATTATGTATCGATACTCTTTAAATATGTGTCGATACTTTTTTCCCAAAATGAAAGCACAACGAGGTGCACGCATAAAGTGTCGATACATTTAAAATTGTATCAATCCCAAAAACATCAAAATCGATAATTATAATGTAATAGGTAAATTTACAATATTACCGGTTTAAATATACATGTTTAATTAGAAAATAAGTCAATATAAACGCTACCTATTACATTATATATGTGCTACTTAATATATTATTGTACTTAATAATATTTTCGATTAAATAATATAACATAATTGATCTAAATTTTAATCGATCACTTATTTATTAGATCAAGTCGTTTTTTAACTGTTTTTTAAACGCCACTCAACAAAAGTTCTGAATACATATTATTAATTTTCTCTTAATTTTAATATGAGAAGAATTTCTCAATTTACTCTGTCGCAGTTGCCTGATGGCAAGTCATGTGTGTGAACGGGAAATCAGCCGCCACCACGTGGCGTTTTCCTCTTTTGCTTTTGTGTGGTCCCCATGACTCACGTGACTTTGTACTGTCCCTGCCCTCTAACCGATGTCTCGGGAAACACTTGTTGTTCGCATCATCCCATGTGTCACTCAACATTTGGTCCAATATATTCAATTTTTTACATTAAAATCCCGAAACTCAAAGCTTTTCTGTTTAAATTTTCTTATGTGTGTTTTGTTGAGATTTTTTTATTTAACATTTTGACTAATTATTTAATATTTATACTGTTTTTATTTGTATTAATATTTTGGATTAACTACATGATCGATCATTTGTGTTTGTATTTTGTTCATTTTTTTCATTAATTTCAAAAAACATAATATGTAATCATTTTTGTTTTTATTTAATTGAGATATGGGCACAACGAGTTAACTGTCGTTAAATTTTGGTACAATCACACATTTGATCCTATTATTTACATATTCTCTCAATATAGTCTTACTTTTAATAAATTAAAATAAAAGTTTTGATAAAATAATATATATATTAAAATTAAAATAAAATAAAATATTTTAAATTAAGTTAATAATAAAATATATTTAATAAGTTAATATAAAAATATTATGAACTTAAGTTAATTGGGAGAATATGTAAATAATAGGGACCAAATGTGTGATTATTAAAAGTATGACTAAATTAAGAGAATATGTAAATAGTATGTATTAAATGTGTGATTATACTAAAATATTAAGTCACATATAATTTTTTAATTGTTAACAAAAGTTAACCCGTCGTGATCATGTCTTAATTAAATGAAAATGAGAGTGATCATATCTTAATTTTTTGAATTTAGTGAGAAAAAATGGATAAAACACAAACATAAGTGATCAATCGTGTAGTTAACCCTATTTTTTTAATTTAGTTATAAGGTATCATGTTTAATCTTGAATTTTCTCTCCACTTTAAGAATTTATTTCTCGTACTTTATAAAAATTGAGAAATTAATTAAATCAAATATTATTATTTATATTTAAAATTAAATTATTTATTTAAAAATTAATAATTTCGTAATTTATATGTACAAAGTTAGAATTGTTTATAGGTAGAAGAAGTTATTCTATGAGGCGGTTAACATAAGGTTAATAAACAAAGCAATTGGTTAAAAGGGTGACAGGTTAAAAGTCAAAGACAAAATGTTATAATTAGAAACAAAAAAAGTTTTCCTATCGATAACAAGTTACAAATGCAGGTTTTTCTCTGTAACAAAGGCGAGTAAATTAAGAAGAAACATCTTAGGAATCCAACAAAAGGATTGAGAGTCGTTATACGACTATAGGGAACGATTCAAGAAACTTTTTGCTAGTTGTCCACGACACAATTTAACCGAACATATTCTTCTTCAGTACTTCATGAAGGATTGCCTCCTTTGGAAATGAAGATGATTGACACAACTAGTGGAGGGGATCTTGTGAACATGACTCCAAATGCGGCCATAAATTTAATTTCTACTATGGCCATTAACTCTCAATAGTTTAGCCCTTCTAGTGAAACCACTTGATGGGTTCACGAGATGAGTACACTTTCTTTAGAGGATAAAATCAATAAGTTAACTGATGTGGTTCAATCTCTCATTATAGGCAAAACATCTATGATAAATTATGTGGAATATGCACAATGTCGGACCATCTTGTTGATTGTTGTCTGATGTTACAAGAAGATGTTACCGCATAAGTAAATGCATTAGGAAATCTTCTAAGATCTCCCTAGAGACCTTATAACCCTTACGCCAATACCTATAATCCGAGGTGGAGAGATCATCCGAATCTCAACTATAGATCAAACCTAATATTGAATCAAACATATTAACCGAGACCACCTCCACCTCAGCAGTATCAATCCTAGAAATCATAACTGGAGATGATTGTAAAATGTTTGGCGATATCCCAGGAGAAATGTGAAATCAAGATTAAAGGTCACTTTCAAGAGCTTGACAAACAAATGAGCCAACTAGCACAAGATGAGTCGATAGGATTCCTAGGGAAAACTACTGTCACAAACTGATCCAAACCCACAAGAAAATATTAGTGCCATGACCCTTCGAAGTGGCACTATTGTCGCACCTAAAGTCC